GAAATGTAAGCACATACAATTGTATGAATGTGCATGTTCATTTTTAGTGTACACAATCTTCTTCTCTATCTAATATTTGCTGTATGTTTATACATACGCTGGAAGCAGATAAATAGATGCACGTCTTTTTACGATGAATCCATACCTATGGCTATCATCAGCTTTATCTGACAACAACAAACTGAGAATTTAAAAATTATATGTTGATGATAAAAGACACGGTTAAAAACTAATTTTAATTAAAAACTTCTAACTGCAGGAGTCCGTTAATCGGTCATGATTTGTTTAAAAATAGATTTATCTAACTTGCAATCCCACTCATCTAGATCTTTGCATGAAAATCAATACTTCAACTTTACACTTAAAATATTTTGCAGCAACATAAACTGCCTCAGATACAGCTATTATTTCCCAAGCTATTGTATCCCACCCACCAGTACTACAGTACTGGATGATTCAAACCATAATCTACTATGATACAGACTATGAGCTCCCCCTAGTTGTCAACACATGTCACTTAAAGCCAGAGGGCACAATTGAGACTGGCAATTCAACTAAAAGCCAGCAAAGTTTATTTTGGAAAGTATTTTATATCAACAAACAATCCACAGCGCAAAGCAATCTAGATAGGAAATGTGAAAGGGAAATAAATGCCTTGTACAAAGCATTTTTAAACAAAAAGCAAACTCAGTTCTGATAAAAACAACAGAATAGGTGTCAATGGAAGTCAGTCATTGATATCTATAATTTGTACTATTTTACCTAGCACACACTCATCTAAGTCATAATTATTGTCAAATATGCCACTAGACATCCCTTTGTTCAACATAGCAAGATACATTTTGCACTAGACAAGGATTCAACAAACATTACTATTAAACACAGCCACATAGGAAAATCTTAGACTTGTTTGCTAAATGTTTAAATAAGCTTGACAAAATATTCTCTGTATTTGTCTACCAACGAAACAACGTGAAACGCTTTCTTATCCATCGTACAGCTATTTAAATCACTAAGCAAATCAAGCAAAAACTAGGAAGCAATACAGATTCATAATACACAGCCACAACGTGTTGACTTTTTAAAATATGCTATTTTTTAAAGCCAGGAAGGCTATGAAAATGAGCTGCTTTTATCTCATGAGTAAATTACAAATAAATTTAAATAAAATGCATCCCAGAGACTGATAAAGAACACATCTTTTGTATTGCCTTACTTAAAGCTGTCATGTAACATGTCTTTAAAAAACACATTATGCTTTTGTATGCACAGCCATGCGTGTATTAAGAAAAACGCAGCCATCTCCAAAAATCATTTCCTAGCTAATTCTTTAGTAATATCTTACATTCTCAATGTGTAACACTAGGAGAAATTGTTTTCTTTGAAGGCGAAAAGCGCATTAATTGCAGCAAATCTAAATGCATTTTAAGTGGAGTTCTTTGCACTTAGAAGCAATTTGCAAAACTTTTATGTACTAGAAATGTTATTAGTTTTTTCTTTTACTTAAATTACTTTGTACATATATGAATTGATAGGGTAAATTATTAATCTTCTTAGGGAACCTGTTGACCAGTTATGAAAGAAATCTCACTGGGGAACTCTAGTTCTCTATCTGGAATTTTATCATTTTACTGTGCTTTTTTCCTCCATATTTTCTACTGTTTTATTAATTTTGCTTATTTTGCCTTATTCTGCAAAACTGGTAGAAGCAGGCTTTTTACATGGATTCTCTTTCACATTTCCTTCAACTCCAAAAAATAATTCTAGTTTTAAAACACATTTCTCTAGTTTAAAAAATTGGTAAATTGGAAAATAAGCAATTTTAATCAAACCAAAATAATCTTTCTTGGTATGGAGCAGTTCTACAGCATATCATCATCTCTTCTGTATAAGACCTTTTTTCACTTTGTCTATAAATTTAACTAGCTCAGGTACAAGTTTTTGTCTCTATCACTGGATAAAGGTCCAGACTTTTGTTTTAAATTTCTTTTCTCTTTTTTGCATTGCAAGTATATCTATTGCAACACTGTATGAGGAACCTAGAGTGAGGCAAATAGGCCACTCAATTTTGCAGATTATAAATAATAATAATTGTTCCAGTTTTGGAATAAACAAATATATTATATATATATATATATATATATATTGCAGCCTGCATGCTTGGTTCACATTCACTATCTAAATGTTTCTTTGAACACCAACATGAAACCCAATAAATATCAGTGGAACAGAGTCAGAAAACCTTTTTTTTTTTGCACCTTGCACAGGACTCCTATCCACCCTGCAAAGCATTTCTCCTGACAGATGCCAAAAAGGCAGAGGTAAACATCAAATATATGCATCTCAGGAAACAATATCAAATTCATTCTGGGTTGTTGTTTTGGTTATTAGTTTAGGCTTTTTTTCCCCCAGCTACTCTCCAAACTCTCCTTTTCACAGGACAGACACTGGCTCTTTAATAATGAATTAAAGCCTCCTGAAAACTGGTAGGACTACTCCTGTCTGGCAAAACACCCTTCTGAAAGTCTGCAGCTTAGGCTCAGGGTATGTGTGCTAAAATGCCCGCATTTCCTGCTTTCCCCCTCTCCCCCCCAATTGATACCTTTATTTTTTTCTGCCACTATGCAGTATGCATCCTGATTTCTCCGCCAGCTTCCTCAGGATGGAGAGAGAGATAAATACAAGAGGGGAGGGAGGGAAACTGCATGCAGCTTTGCCTTCCATTCCTCGCAGGCTCCCCTCCAAACCCATTGTGCCCGCTGCTTCTTGGAACCCTTATTAATGATTCCCTGTCTCATTATATCCTTTCAAATAAGGCGATATGAAAACAAGATGAAATTGAAGAGCGAACCTACCTGGCTCCCCTCCCTCCCAAAAAAAATATGTTTCTCCCTTTTAAACAAATTCAAACGTGCGCAACAAACCAGATTATCCACAATCCACGGCCCCTTTCAAAACCAAGTATCTCCTTGCAAATGAGACAGAAAATAAGTAGTAGAAATTGCAATTGATGATGCAGATGTTTTTAAAAATCAACAATCACCCTCCCCCCCACACACACACACACACACAAAAAAGGAAAAGGAAAATGCAATTTCCAAACCAGATTTTTTTTAAAAAATAATGCAAATAACAAAAGGATGGGAGAAGAGTCACCTTTTTTTAAATGGGCATGCAAATCTGGTTGCAAAATAACAATGAATTAAAAACACCCCCGCCCAAAAAAGAGTCAAATATCAGATGCATCTTCATTTTGTTGCACCAGGTGCTGGTTGGGGGGAAAAATGGAAGTAAAAAAACGAAGTAACCAGATGAGCTAAAAAAAATAAGAAACTGAAATTTCAGAAGGCAAACGCCACCCAAGATATCTAATAAAAAAAGTATTTCCAACAAATTCTTACAAACAAAATTTATCAGCTGTAACAAAGGAGAGATCGCAACCACCAAATGCTCCTGGCAGATGGCTTCTATTCTTGGTTTTCAGGGGAGGGGAGACTCTCGTATATATTTATTTATTTATTTATTTAAATTTTTTAAAATATAACATAAATATTCGGATTTGCAGCGTTTGAGACTCAGCCCTTGGCTTGCTCCATGCGCAACACTCCTTTAAAAGCAAGTTCGGGACTTATTTTGTTGTTGTTGCTGTTTGCTTGTTATTTGGCTACATTTTTTCCCCCACATCAGATGGTGGGATTTCGGAGAGCCATGCAAGGGAAAAACCTGCCTGCAATCTTCATTGCACCTAGAAGAGGTTTGATTTTTACTGCACTAAAATTGTGCATGGCGAATTAGGGAAATAAACGCTAAAAACAGGGGTGGGAGGGGAGGGAACGTGCACAGAGAAGGTGCAATTGCAGCCGCTTCTGTAACGCGCGCGCACACACACACACACACACACACACACACAACTGCACTGTCCCCCGGATCTTCGTAGAGATGTTACATCTTATTACCTTCTCTTTCTTTTACAATGGGCGCTTTTGCAAAGTGCAGCTCCCACTCCTGCCCGGGCTTTTTTGGGGGGGGGGGTTCCCAGCGTGGATCTAAGGCTCCTGCCTAGTTGCTTTATTGTGATTGTGATTATTAGTAGTATTAGTATTATTTGCTGCAGCTGATGCCTCGTGGGGTAATTCTCCCCACCCCCACCCCCTTGCAAACTGGGTCCTGGCTCGCAGCGGAACACGCCAGCCCACTCGCTGCCATGCCTGGGTCGGTGGCCGGTGGAGGGGCAGGAGCCCCCTCCCGTGCCTTGGCACCTGGGCAGGTCCTTCCGTAGGGGGCTAGGGGAGGGCAGCCGCCTTCCCAGCTACCTGGAGCCTGACAAGCGTTCCGGGCTCCCGCTGCCGCTGCTCTCCCTCTCCGACTTCGCCTCCCCCCCCCCCCCCCCCCAGGGCCGCCCGGGCCCTCGCCCCCCCCCCAGCCGGCGATCTTCCCCAATCCCCCTGCCCGCATGGTGCCGGGGACGGTCCCGGCTTCGCCTCCTTTCCTCCCGGAGCGCGCTGGCCGAGAGGGGCTCCCCGGCGACAGCTCCCTCTCCGTGGGTCCCCCCCCTCCTCCACTCCGTCCTCCCGCCGCTCTCCTCCACTGCCCGCCTTTCCCCCCCGGCTCCCCTTCCCCGCATTTCCCCCGGCCGGCTGTCACCCCGCCGCGTGTGCTCGCCAACTTTCCCCGGCTCTTCCCACTGCAGCCAGCACGCGCGCTTTGCAAACCAAAACACCGAGACCCCACCGCCAGCTCCTTCCCCGGCCCCTTCTCTGCCCCACGCCGCCTGCCGCCTCCCTCCCGCGCCGCCACAGCCTGCAAATTCACTGCAAACTTTGGTTTTCTCGAGTCCCCCCTCCTCCTATCCACATACACCCTCCTCCCTTTAATTCCCTTCTCTCCCCCCCACTTCTCTCTCTGGCTCTAAAGTGACTTACTAGACTTGGCTTTTCCTGGACTTTTCCCCCCTTTTGAGCCTTGATTTCTGATCGTTCTTGTTTCAAGTTCAAACTTACGTGTGATAATCTCTCTTTGTGACAAGTGCTGCGGGTTTCCCTGCTTGCGACGGGACATTGCCCTGGCATTTACACTGGCATCGCCCGGAGAGCTGTACTGGGTTGGGGGGGATGTGTGGGGGGGCGGATCTTCCTCCTCTTTTTTTCGTTCACTCTTTCGTCGTCTTCTTTATTGATTTCTTCTTCTTTTTAAAAAATAAAATAAAATGGAGACAAGAAAACCCCTCTTTTTTTGTTGTTCTGGTGCACCAGGTGGGATATCCCCCTGAATTAAAAAAACATCATCATCAGGAAAGGCTCTTTCTTTTTTTTCTCTCTCTCTCTCTCTCTCACTGTCTTTTCTCCACTGCTTCTGTCACTTGGACTTCCAAATCTCTTCTTGAACTTAGGAGGATTTGCACCAACAGTGACACTTTTTCTCTCTCTCTCCAGAGTGCTTGGCAAATTGGCAAGTGCACTTCTTCCACCAGGAGGGTAAAAAAATCAGGATTTTTTTTTTAAAGTACAGAATGGGGATTGCCCACACACAAAAAAATGCCCCCAAAAATATTTTTTTCAGAAATTGACCCTTGCTGGGTTTTTTTAAAGGGGTAGCCAAAACTGTGTCTCCTCTTTCCCAGTTCAAGTGGCACTGCTTTGCCCTAGTGCTTTTGGATTGCCAATGCCTCTGCACCACTTTGCACTGCTCCCCCTCGCCTGGCACTGGGACTGGAAGGAAGGAAGCCCCCAGTGCAGCTGGGTTGGTGCTGGCTATTACTATTATATATTGCAATGTGAAGATGGCGGAGTCCTGGTTCTCTGGGAGCGCTCTGTCTCTCTATGGCTGGGGCTGCCTCTGTACAATGGGATAAAATTCAAGTTCAAGTGCGGACGTGACGTTTAATCTGCACTAGAGACAAAAAGACCCAGAGAGTAGGAGCACTGGGGGCGACTAGCGGTGGCTTTTTAACATTGTACCCTGCAAGAGAACAAGAAACACACACACACACACACACACACACACAAACTAAAGCACATGCATGGATCGGGAGCAGCTCCGGGCTTTGTGCATTGCCTCCTTCACCGGCACTCCGAGTGCCAGCGAAATAATAATGATCAATAATCACCATAGTGATAAATAATAATCATGCAAACTAAACTAAACTTCCCCCTACCCTGTTTTAAGTGTCCTGTCCGTGCTGAGACCAGCTCTAGCGGGTCGTTCACCCCGGCCGGGGACTCACTAGGGGAGTGACTTGGGGATCTCCCTGGGGCAAAGTGCCTCGATTGGACTTAAATCGGCCAGGGGATTATGCCAGGCAGCGTGGCACCGCCGCCCGGGCTAAGAGAGGTCAGGATCGGAGTGGACAGCTCAGGGCGACGCAGGCAGCGGGACTGAGGCGGGGGTCCTGGCAGAGTGATCGCTCCGCTCTGTTATTAATGATGGCATAGGAGCTCCATGGTCCGGGCTTGACTCTGGGTCTTGCTTCGTTGTGGTCCATTTCTAGGATCACTGGCGAGAAGGGCTGGGGCGGGCTTCTCTTTCCTTCAGACGGCACCCCAGGTACTCGGCTGCAGGCACATCCCCAGTGTATTTCAAACAGTTTTGCACTAACACAAATATCTGTGTGGGCTGGGGAAAGATTTTTCTCTCCCTAATCTATGAGTGATGCTACCGGGAGACTCTTTTTGTGTCTCTCACACACGCACACCTCTTCGACCTTTGGTGGTGGTGATGGTGGTTGTTCGTGTAAAAATTCCTGACAGGGAAGATCTTTGTGTGAGTTAGTGGCACTCACCCAAGACCGGGAGAATCCAGAGGCATTTAGATCACGGCGGAACAAGACACTGCATGTACTTTTCATTCGATTTCACAGGCAGGTAAATGCCCGGCTGAGTGCGCTTCTAACTTTAAGATTCTTGGAAACAAAACTTTCCTTTCCCCGCCCTCTCCTTCTTCCCACCCCCCTGTATTTTCCCCCCCCCCCCCCCCCCGAAAAGCAAACTGTTCTTTCCGAAGTGCTTTTCAGCACTAGGTCTGGACAGAGCGAGGGAAGTGTGGGGGGGGGAGGACTTTGAAGCCAGATATGGGGGCTGCAGTGAAATCCAATAAAAATCATCAGCCTTCACCCTGAACACGCTGGGCAAGACATTCCGCATTCATGTCATTCGCTTTCTACGTTGAATTAATATTTCTGTGTGTGAAGTCGCAGGGGAGCCTTGGGGGACCAAAATTCATCTCCGTGCCCTTAATCTGCTTTGAGCAGAATTTGGCTAACCAGCTATACTCGCCTCCTCCAGCAACTGTCGGGAAATCTGCTTCCCCCTACAGAGAGCGAGACCCTCTCAGATGTGTGAGTTCTACTTCGTCAGCCCCACTCTCTCCATAGACCCTGGTTCTGACCTGGGGATTTCACATGGGGAAAGCCAAGGAAATCCCACCACCAGGCCTGGGGATGGGTTTTGTTGGCGGGCACAGGGCCAACCTCGCCATGTCCTCTTCTCCCTGCTCAGCCATCGTTCTCCCTTAATAGTAACTATGGCAAAGCCAGTTCAGCTCCTAGCACGCTGCCTAGATTCTTCCTGGCGTTTGTTTGTTTTGCTTAACAGGGTCCTACAAAGAAAATGAACAGTGTGGTGGTAACACAACTCGCAGCAGCTGGGCGGGAATTCAGAGATCCGCGGCTGCTTTTAACACACACACCCCAACACACACGGAGCCCTGTCAAAAAGTTGTGCAAACAATCGGGTGAGAAAAGGGGGGCACAGCAAGGGCCAGAGGTGGAGAAAGGTCCGAGGTAGCCTACAGCTGGAGGGAGGAGAGGAAAAACGCCTTCCGCGGAACCTGGGCTGGGGGAGCAGCAATGTCCCCTCCCGTGCCTTTCAGGGGATCTTTTGCTGAACCATTCTTCCTGCAGCTCCACCCCCGTTTTACCTAAAGCTTGAAAAGCACCAGCCCCACCTGGTGTCAACATGATGGATGCCACAGGGGTCGGTTGTAGCCTTTCCAGGAATGCAGCTGAAAGTCCAAAGAAAATACAAAAAAGAAAAAGAAAAAAAAAGTTTAAAATATTTCTACCGACTCTCTCTCTCTCTCTCTCTCTCTCTCTCTCTCTCACACACACACACACACACACACACATACTGCACTTCATGCATTTCTAGATACTTGAGTCATATTTCTACAGCCATTTCCTATAAGGGTTCGCTTTCATTCATTCCAAGAAGAGTTTCTGTCTGTCTTTATGTCTTTCTTTCTTTCTCGGTCCCTCCATGCTCCCCACCCCCCATTTTCTTGCACTTTGCTTGGCGTGGCAAACAGGCTTTGTGTGTGTGACTCTCATACAAAATGTGTCTCGCGATTCTGGGGGAGGCATTTGCAAACCCACTGGCTGCTCCTGGTTTAAAGGTGCAGCGCGAATGGCCTTACTGGCAGCCAGGGGAGCGGGGTGGGTGCAAAGTCCATCTCGCATTACTTTGGCCGGTTTCAAATCGTTGCAGGAACCTGCACGTACCTGAAGCAACCCTTATCAGGAAGTTCCTGGGCATCATTTGTTGATTCACCACTGTCTTACAGTGGGCATTCAAATCAAAGATAAGGACACATAAATGATTGACCATGCTGCGTTCCCTTATTGCCTTTAATGGTTCAGCCTGGGGTGGACGCGGTCTTTCTCCCTTTGAAGTGCGATCAGGTCTAGTGTAAGAGCTGGCATTGCCTTACACGTAGCTTATCTGAACCATTTTTTTTAAAGCCTGCCTTCTCTTCCTCCTCCTTCTAAAATATATCCCAATACGGGGGGGAAATTCCAAGTGATTTTTCAGTCTCCTCTTTTCTCCCCTGTCTGGCACTTGTGATCATTAGCACTGAAAGCTGTTAATGTCTTGTCTCACAGCTCCCCCTTTAGTCTCTTTGCTCTCCCTGTCTCGCGTTCAAAGCCAGATCAATAGCAGTCTCTTTCTAACCTTGACCTATCCCTCGACCCCGCCTCCATCTGCAGCTGGCCCACTGTTTTGTTTTCCCACTCTGTCGATATCCAAGTCACAATCGGTGACAGCAGACAAACAAGAGGGGCTTGCTTCTCTCTGGGGGCTAGCTGAACTCCCCCCCCCCATTTCCCCCTCCCCCAGGCGGCCAGCCACAATAGCGCTATGGTCAGAGGATTTCTGTCCCACTGATTATTTTACTGCTTTGTCCAAGTTCCTTTTCTGTTCTCTCTCTCCCCCCATCGCACTGTTTTAACACATAACAAAAACACACACGCGAACATTAAAGCTAGAAAAGGCAGCTTGCCACTTAACAAAAAGGAACAAGAAAAATAATTTAAAAAAAGAAGCGCTGCCTTTGTACAGGCTTTACAGATTTTAGTTTCTTTATTTTGAAGGGGAAACAAAGCAAAACAAAAACCCTGCCCCAACGTGCTGAGCATTCTGTTCATACTATAACACGGATCATAACAAATCACTCTCACCCAGTAACATCTTCCTTAAGGGAAAACAAACCAATACAGTTTTAAATATTCGATTTTATTCTATATGCAACAAGGCATGGCGAGTCAAGAGCTTTCGGCACGCAGACGTGGTTTAGCTCCTGAGTCCCCTGGCCTCCCGCCCCCACTTTTTTTAAGCATGTGATGTCTTCTGCTGAAATTTGGCGTGGGTATAAATAACTGTAACTTCAATGTAAAAGAGGAACTCCCAATATTCTTGCAAGAGGATGAGATGAATCTGTCACTTGGACGCATTTTAAATCCGTCTCCACGCTCTCCCTTTTGGCCAAACAACTTTTCAGCTGAATAAGAATTTCTGCAACAGAGTCTATCTGATGTGACTTTAGGTTTCTTCACATGCTTCACTCGAAAAGCTCGTGCCAAGTTAGAAGTACATGTTTTTTTACAGAGATCTGGGCAAAGTGGGCGAGAAATCAACCTTAGCTTAAACAAGTCTACTCGTTCCTGTTCCCTTTGAATCTTTAAGTGGTGGTGTTTGTGAACAGGAGTATAAACACAGGGCATTGGTCCGATCGGCTTAGTTATCCGCTCTGCCTTGCGAGGAGATATAGAAACACAGGATCTAACCAGATCATATTTACATACATATTAATAAAGCTCCCGTG